GTTTTACCTACTAGTATTTTCCTGACTGATAATGCTAAAATAACTTCACATGATTATTCAATGATTTCTTTATTTGTCCCAATGAAATTTCGTTTGTCAACAAAGTATGTTAAGGTGTTTATTATTTTTTGCTATCGATCAAAAGAGACTAATTATTCCACTGAGATATATTTGCCAAGGCAATATGAACCATGCATCTGTCAGCAATTTTTGTCCCTCTTTTATTTTGGTTTCCTGGAGATAATTTAAAATCTACGTAAATGAGAATTCTTGTCAGCCAATCAGCGCAGCCAGCAAAGGACATAACATTACTGACCACGTGTCTGTATATCTTGCATATCAAAGGCTGAAGCAGATTATTGAAACTTTCCGCACTGTTACCAAATGTGGGAAAATTAACAAATAAAAATTCTGTTATTCAGAGTTAGTCTGAGCATAAAATGTTTTCAATGTATTCAAATAAAAAAAATATATATCTCTTGATCAAGACCAGTTCGTGTATTTCATCAAATTTCTTTGTCATTTTGCTGCACTATTTCTTGTCAGCGGCGATAATTTTTCTCTAAAAGGAGTGATTAGGTCGAGACACTCTTTGTTCTGTGAAAGTGCATAGAGAGAGGTGATAAAATCAACTCCCAAAAAGTTCAAGATGTTATTTTCATTCAAGACACAAATTATAGTGCTGAAAGGTCATATTAAAAGTAGTATAGCGCATTGACCCCATTTTTAGTTTTGATATTAAACTGAGCTATGTGTGTAGGAACGAAAAACATACTTGACAAAAAGATTAAGTCCTTTAATATCAGGATATATTCTCAAAAAACAAATATATAAATGATAAACAGGAAAACGGGGCTTGAAATTGTGTTAGCAGAACAAGGAAATATTTCTCGACAGATTTGTTTTCAATTTTCTTTTTTACATTGTACTGTGTTGATTTAACAATCGCCATTCACAAAGTAAAAATTTAGACAAGGAATAAGAAAATCTTAAGTTTCATTATGTAGAAAAATTTGTTTATAACGTATCTTCATGGCAAGTTTGTAATTTGCCTTACTGCATGCACCCTTCTAAATATCACAAAAAATCACAGGAAATCGGCATCATCTTAGATTTTATACTGAAGAAAAAACACAGTAAAAATATAGCGTTCATCACATTCAATTAAAATTATAATATATACTTGTCGTTTGTTTATCTTTGTTCCGTGGTGGGGTTTGGAGTTGAAAGCTGAAAGCTGCATGTAAATGATTTACATTTTATTCAAACGAATTGTAGAATTCCAGAAATAAATACTTAAGTTCTCTCTAACACACTTCGGACATCTCAAAAATTGGTCTTCAATGTATATTCAAGCAAAGTTTAACTTCAACTACTTTCAGTATTCTTTTTCATGAACCAAAATGTTAATTTACGTGGTTTTTTTTTATTTTTAATATATTTCGGCATATTATATGATTATATAGTTCAGCAGTAAATAATAGTTTGTTTTCATCAATCAAAATTTAATGTCATGGGATATCTATTTCGTTCTTTAATAAAAAAAAATTGAAATGTTGGTTTAATGATTAACTTATGTCAAATTATTTCATCAGGCAAAAACTTTGAAAGGAATAAGACTTAAAAAGCAAAATCTACAATCGTTTTTCTGTATGAATCAAGTGACATATGTAAGACTTCAAACAGGAAAGCTGTGAAATTGTGTTGACCTGAAAAGGAGTTAGGGAACTAAATCACAACAGACACATTAAAGTAAATTATAACTGTATTTTTTCTTTCTTCTTTAATCGGAAGTGTGAAGGGTTAACACTATGCACTTAAACAGTTAAAGAAACAATAGAAAGAATATAAAAAAAATCAATAACAGGTTGGAAGATTTATTTCAGTAAATTTCTTCATTTTATTAAACAGTCCGGAATGCTTACAACTTATCCATAAAATGTTTTTTTTTATTTATAAACTTTTATACATGCACATTCAATAAGTGTGGTTAAAAATTGCTAAAAAAAAATCAGTAAAGTTAACATAAGTTGCATGTGTAAATAGTATCAAAATATTCGTTCCATTCTTGGATATTTTACTTGAAAAAGACGCTAATGGTAATCTAACAACCAAACAATATGATAAACGTGATGACTTTAACTTTTCTATCGTCAACTTCTCTTACTTATTTAGCAATATACCTTCATCACCTGCATAAGGTGTATATTTATTTCAGTTGATTCAATACGCAAGAGCATGCTCTACGTATGAACAAGTTCTAAAAAAATGTACATTATTGACAAGCAAGTTGATGAAACAAGAATATCAGCAGTTTCTTTTAAAGTCATCATTTCGTAATTTCTACGATCGATACAATGACCTTGTCAGCATATACAATTTATCAATAAGTAAAATGCTGACAGAGGTTTTTCATACGAATTGTTTGTCCAATATTTACACACTGAATTGATGACGGATGTTTCCATTATTTCTTGATCATGAAAAGGAGCACACGGCGGGTTCGACTGGTATACTCATGGAGGAGAGAGTATCCACTGCCGACCGGTCACACCCACCGTAGAAACCGTATACATCATAGAAATAAAGCAGCAATTTGATAAAATAAAAAAAAAAAAATCGATATTTCCGTCCGTCTATTCATGTACGTCTATACATGTCCGTCTATACATGTACGTCCGTCCGTCTGTCTGTCCGTCCGTCTGCTACGCTTTATCTATTATCCGCAATTCCTCTTTTACTACTGAGTCAAATTTAATAAAACTTTCACAGAATCTTAATTACAAGTTGCCATTGTGCACCTCTTATTTTACTTTTTTATTCGACACGTATTTTAAGTTTCCCCATAGCGAAACATGGACATTGTCATTATATATTTACCTATGACGTCACATAGAATCTTCTGGATAACATTTGATAGGAGAGTTATTACTCTTTACACATTACCGTAAAACAGTATATAGCAACACATGGATATTATGGGAGGTGAGGTATTATTTAGTGTGCATATTGCCTCTAGTACCTCTACCTCTACAGTACCTCTAGTTTTAAAATGAAATCGTTCGATACTGAGGAAATTAAAAAAAGTCTTACAGGAATAATGCACTGAAAAGGAATTGGGGAGCGTTTGGGGAACATCTGTAACGCTCTTCGTAACATTAACACTAGCATTACATGTGATGGATATTTACCCAATACTCATATTTTTTCTATATCATGACAAAATTCTTTCAATTCATTATTTCAATTTTTGCTTCACAATATGCATCAATTAATTAATAGTCCGAACATACATTTCTTTCTACTCCGCAATACTTTATGTGTCATACTTTTTTCTAGTAGATATCTCGTTTACTACATTTACAATTCAGACTGAACCAATATGTAGCAAAACTAAATCGAAATTAAATGAACAGTTTAAGTTGAAAATTATAAAGTTTTACGGAAATGATTGAATTTAATATTACAATTTACCTTCTCTTTCTTTTTACACTTTTTTTTATTTCAAGATTATATATCTCTTACACTAAGCACCCTGGTAAATGAGATTCTTGACAATTGGCGAGAAAACGACATTGCCTTCATTCCTACAAGAGCAAGTGAAGTGGTTCAAGAAAAACTTAAAAGTCTGAACATTATCACAGTGGTTGGAAATTCTGGATCCGGAAAATCTGCAATAATTCAGCATATTGCACTTATTCTAAAGGAGCAGGAATGGAATGTCATACCGGTGGATAAGGTGGAAGAAATAAAAAAGATCTGTTCAACCGGAGTCTCAGAAAATCGTACATTATTTGTTTTCAATGATCCTTTAGGTAAGGAGTCGTTAGATGAAATTTTGTATCACTCATGGAAAAGTTTAGAGAAAACGCTGGAGATTTGCTTGAAGAAGAATAAACTATTGATATTATGTAGAAGATGCATCTTTTATGACAAGAGAATCAAGGGTAACTTATTGGATGACTCATCTGCAGTAGAGATTGATAACGAAAAAAATGGACTGACGATTGACGAGAAAAGAGCGATCTTAAATCAGTATTCACAGAATCTGAAATTATCCGAGGAGGTTGTTACTGAAATAATCAAAACCGAAGATTACTTCCCATTGCTTTGTAAGCTTTATTCAAGGGAGGCGAACTACAAAGAAAAGGGGGTTGATTTCTTTAAAAGTCCGTACAAATTTATTAAAAAGGAAATTGAAGTTTGGAAGAAAACAGACAAGAAAAGATTTTGCTCACTTATCTTGATAGTGGCTTTTAAAAACAATTTGAAAATCGATGCTATTGTAAAAAATGATATTTGTTTGATGAAATTTAAAGAAATTTTAGGTATGTGTGAGTTACAAGAAAACACACATATTTCAGTCATTCGTAGTACTCTACACGAATTGAAAGGATCCTATGTCAAACGTGTCGGAAATGCTTTCCAATTCCTTCACGACTTTATTATGGAGATAACGACTCTGGTGTTTGGAGTTGATTGTCCACAAGAAACAATACGGTACGCAGACAGCGGTTTTCTGAGACGTCGAGTGAAAATAGAAGACGATACAGCAGAGGAAGATCGCGATCCTTTCACTGTTTACCTTCCTGAAGAGTACATTGATGATCTTGTCGACAGATTTATTACTGACATGCAGACAGAACACCTTGTAGATGTCCTACTCAATCCATGTTTGAGGAAAGAGAGTGTCATCAATTTTTTCAAGGAAAAAGTGGATTCGCTTGAAATACTTCTTGTAAAAATTAAGTGTAAAAAAGACATATCGGAATTTCAAAGATCATTTGAAAGATCTTTTTTCACAAGACTTGAATTTCTTTATTCATTTGAAAGTGAAATATGCCCTTTAGTTGGTCTTATTGTATTTTGTCATTCTGACATTTCTTCATTTTTTATAAAAAGTATCCATGAAACAAAGTTGAAAGAATATCCTATATTTACTGCTATATGTGCGAATGGAGATTTAAACCTACTTAATTCTCTCAGCCAGCAAAGAATATAAAAAAACAGCAATGATGGAAATTTGGGATGACTCTTTACCAATTCATGTTGCTTCTGAATTTCATAATTTTTCAATACTTGAAGAGTTAGTAAGACTTGGTGGTGAAGTAAATAAGTTAACAACTGATGACATGTGGACGCCGTTGATACTTGCTGCTGCAAATGATGAAGATCATTTCAAAGAGGCCGGAATAGACACAAAAACTGGAGAAAGACGTAATAATACAACTATTTCCTTAAAGGACAACGGTGATAAAATCAATAAATGTGGTATTGAGAATGGAGAGAGTCCTCTTTGTATGGCTTGTTATAGAGGACGTGATAGAACAGTACAACTGTTACTGGACAACGGTGCCAGCATCAATTTATGTGATAATGATGGATTCAGTCCTCTTCATATCGCTTGTCAAAATGGACATGATAGCACGGTACAACTCTTAATAAACAACGGTGCCGAGGTCAATTTATGTGACAAGAATGGAGCCAGTCCTCTTTATATAGATTGTGAAAATGGACATGATAGCACGGTGCAACTCTTAATAAACAACGGTGCCGAAATCAATTTATGTGACAAGAATGGAGCCAGTCCTCTTTATATAGATTGTGAAAATGGACATGATAGCACGGTGCAACTCTTAATAAACAACGGTGCCGAAATCAATTTATGTGATAATGATGGATTCAGTCCTCTTCATATAGCTTGTCAAAATGGACATGATAGCACGGTACAACTCTTAATAAACAACGGTGCCGAACTCAATTTATGTGACAAGAATGGAGCCAGTCCTTTTTATAAAGCTTGTCAAAATGGACATGATAGCACAATACAACTCTTAATAAACAACGGTGCCGAAGTCAATTTATGTGAGAAGAATGGAGCCAGTCCTCTTTATATAGCTTGTCAAAATGGAGTGGATAACACGGTACAACTGTTATTAAACAAAGGTGCCGAAATCAATATATGTTACAAGAATTGAGTAAGTCCCCTTTATAGAGCTTGTCAAAAAGGACATGATAGCACGGTACAACTCTTAATAAACAACGGTGCCGAAATCAATTTATGTGAGAAGAATGGAGCCAGTCCTCTTTATATAGCTTGTCAAAATGGACATGATAGCGCAGTACAACTCTTAATAAACAACGGTGCCGAAGTCAATTTATGTAAGAAGAATGGAGCCAGTCCTCTTCATATAGCTTATCAAAATGGACATGACAGCACGGTACAACTCTTAATAAACAACGGTGCCGAAGTTAATTTATGTGAGAAGAATGGAGTCAGTCCCCTTCATATAGATTGTGAAAATGGACATGAAAGCACGGTACAACTCTTAATAAACAACGGTGCCGAAATCAATTTATGTGATAATGATGGATTCAGTCCTTTTCATATAGCTTGTCAAAATGGACATGATAGCACGGTACAACTCTTAATAAACAACGGTGCCGAACTCAATTTATGTAACAAGAATGGAGTCAGTCCTCTTTATATAGCTTGTCAAAATGGACATGATAGCGCAGTACAACTCTTAATAAACAACGGTGCCGAAGTCAATTTATGTGAGAAGAATGAAGTCAGTCCTCTTTATATAGATTGTCAAAATGGACATGATAGCACGGTACAACTCTTAATAAACAACGGTGCCGAAGTCAATTTATGTGAGAAGAATGGAGCCAGTCCTCTTTATATAGCTTGTCATAATGGACATGATAGCACGGTACAACACTTAATAAACAACGGTGCCGATGTCAATTTATGTGACAAGAATGGAACCAGTCCTCTTTATAGAGCTTGTCAAAATGGACATGAAAGCGTGGTAAATCTTTTATTGAACAACGGGGCCGATATCAATTTATGCCACGAGAATGGAATTAGTCCTCTTTACATAGCTTGTCAAAATGGACATGATAGCACGGCACAATTGTTACTGAACAACGGTGCCGACATCAATTTATGTGATAATGATATAGTCAGTCCTCTTTATATAGCATGTCAAAATGGACATGCTAGCCCGGTGCAACTTTTATTGAACAACGGAGCCATCGTTAATTTATGTAACAAGAATGGAACAAGTCCTCTTTATAGAGCTTGTCAAAATGGACATGAAAGCGTGGTAAATCTTTTATTGAACAACGGGGCCGACATCAATTTATGCCACGAGAATAGAATTAGTCCTCTTTACATAGCTTGTGAAAATGGACATGATAGCACGGCACAACGATTATTGAACAACGGGGCAGATATAAACTTATGTGATAACCATGGAGCAAGTCCTCTTCATATATCATGTTATAAAGGACATGATAGCACGGCACAGCTATTATTAAGCAATGGTGCCAGCATTAATTTATGTAAGAAGAATGGAGTCAGTCCTCTTTATATAGCTTGTTTCAAAGAACATGAAAGTACCGTTAATCTGTTACTGAAGAACGGAGCCGACATCAATATTTGTACCAACAATGGAGTCAGTCCTCTTTACATAGCTTGTCAAAATGGACATGATAGCACGGTACAACTGTTACTGAATAACGGTGCCGAAATCAATTTATGTGATAATGAGGGAGTCAGTCCTCTTTGGATAGCTTGTTATAATGGACAGGATAGCACGGTACACTTCTTACTGAACAACGATGCCGATATCAATTTATGTAACAAGAATGGAGCCAGTCCTCTTTATATAGCTTGTCAAAATGGACATGATAGCACGGTACAATTGTTACTGAACAACGGTGCTGACATAAATTTGTGTGATAAAGATGGAAACAGCCCTTTTTGGATAGCTTGTGAAAACTCACATAGCAGCACCATCGAACTTCTATTAAATTCAGGTGCTGATGTCAATTGATGCAATAAAGGTCACTGCAGTCCGCTGTACATAGCATGTCTCAACGCTGATGACAGTATGGTCCAACGTTTATTGACAAAGGGGCCGACATCAATTGATGTGACAACGAGGGAACCAGTCCACTCTACATAGCCTGCGAAAAATGGATATTACAGCACAGTCGAATTATAATTATTATTAGGAAATGGTACTTGTGTTAATTTATGCAATAAAGACAACAAGAGTCCACTGTACATAACATATTTATATTGACATGACACTATCGCTGAACGTTTACTACAATTTGGTGCTGAGTTTTTATTCTGAAGATGAATTCAATGATTTCTCAATACCAAGTGCGTTCACATTATTTCTGAGATATGGAGCTTAAAGAAATTTTAGCTTTGATTAGAGCTGACAAAAATGAGTGGGATACTATGATTTAGAATTTAAAGCATTTATTTAAAAAGATTTACATAAGAAGAAGAAAACACTTGCTGTATCTTTCATTTCAACATTCAGATAAATCGACGACGTATTATCAATTACAAATATCAATATTTATTTTCATTTAAATGTCGACTTGCTATTTCCTAGTGAATTTGAAATAGACGACGCCACAAAATCTGTTACTTCTGTTTCATATTCGAATGTTCGGAAAATTATATTATAGTAATTAATTGCATTGTTAGCAAATATAACCTTTCATGAATGGGTTTAACAGACCAAGTGATAGACTGTTTTGAACTTTATTTGCCTCTATCCATCGGAAAAAAACATGTCGAATATGACCGATCAAAAGGGTATGTTTTCTCATTTTGGGCACCTGAGTCTACTCCTGGAGTGCTTGGCATTCGTGTTTTATGTGTGGTTTACAGATATTTAGTGCTTTTAAAAATTTGTTTGGATTGATCTTTGTTTCTTTTAATTTTAGTGATTACTGCCGTACTGTTAATCTTCAAATTTTCTGTGACAACTAATTTTTTTTAGAAGGAAACTTGGTATGTAAAAGTGAGATAGATATATTGTACTTTAAAGAAATTGTCTCTAAAGTTTGTGTTATTGTTCATATTTAATGATTATACTTTTATACGCAAGAATTACTTTTTTTTGTAAGAAAACTCAAAAAAATTCTTTTGAATAAAAAGTATACTTTTTTACAGTATTTTTTAAGCTTACTTACACTTAAATGTCATATGACTTTCTTTTTTTTTATTGTACTACTGCTATTTAAAGGTGTAAGTTATCAATAAAATTCAGTCTAATAAAACGTCTTGTTTCAAGAGAGCAAAGTCTTGCGGCTACATAAAACTTTTTGTTCTAGTAAGCATCAAGGGAGCAGTCTGTTATTTGATATAAAGCAAAAACATTGCACTGTATTACTGTAATAATGAAACTTAATCTGTGACACGAGTAATGATTATTTATTTGGGTGTAATTAAAGGCTTTGTTTATCTTAACTCTATACCGGCGACACATAAGTTCGAACTGTTCATTAGAAATCAATGATATATCAACAAATGTAAAACATGTATTTAAAAAAATATCTCTGTGACGTGATTTTCTATTTCATAGAATTTCTGCGTACCTTTATCAGCTAATTGATAGACAGGGGCTTAAAAGACACATGCCGTGAAGGTTTGTACATATTAAGGAATTTTTGATATTTAACCCCCCCCCCCTCCGAACATAAAATCTTAAAGTTTATACAATGAAAAAAATTGGACCATACGAATTTTGATTAATCAACAGAATAGAATTGTATGTTATAAACATAACAGAACAGTTCGATTCAGAAAAATTCCATTCATGGGGGAGGAGTGGAACCTGTTTTATAAACATCTCTTGTTTGGTATATGAATTTTGTATGCGCAGATTGCTAGTTGTATATCCATTCAGTAGATAGTTTGTAATTTAAATATAAAACTTTAACAAAACATACAAAATTGCTACTTTTCTGAAGTATTAAGAATGAAGTAAAAATTTGTGAAAGTGCAAGGGTGTGTTAATCTAAAGCGTCACGAAATTCATAGATTAAAATAATTTCCAGGGAAGTTTTCTATGGAATGCTTTACCAACATATACGTCGTGATATTATGCAGAACATTTGAGAAAATATTAAGGTGCATCCGTGGCTAAGCACCTTAAAGAACCTATGAAATTTTACTTGTATTTTATAATTTGTCTAGATACCATGTATCAACCTGTGTTCTATGTGCTTTTCCTGAATTAAAAAAACAAAATAACAAAAGTTTGGTCACGTCCTCGTTAAAGGGCGATAATCAGAAATCGTGAAAATGTGGTAGTATCTTTTAATATCTCAAAAACCATTGGCTAAAACAGTTAAACTTGTAAGAAATCTTCCTTACATAGTGCACATTCAAGTTTGTTCTGAAAATGATGAACCAATGGTTAGGATGAGGTCACAATTAGTGATTAATTAATGTTTTATAAAGGAACAAGTAGGAAAAAATCTTGAAATCTCGTCTTACGAAGAGATCAATGATTGATTATATAAATAAGATAAAATCCTCGGATAACTTAGACGGGGAACATTCAGATAAAATTTTGTCTAACTACCTCTGTTAATGTACATCCCCGTAAAAAATAACATTATACCTACAAAACAACTTAAAAAGGTCTCTGTAAGGGTTAAATGCATAAGGACATTTTAAAAATTAAACACCAGTTCGCTTCCTATTTATGTGTCATTTGCATTGATAAGCCAAAACAAACAGCGGAAAATTTTGTTTTATTTGGTAAAACATACCCAGACAGAATCTTGCCTTCTGGAACCAGAGGTGGATCTGGGTATTGAATAGGAGTATCCCATACGTCTGCAGAGCGCCGTTCACTGAACAGAAGAAAAGGGCGGCCACAAACGGAAACAACGGAATAGGTTTACCTCCCTTTATCCTTAGCGGGAAAATGAAAGTCCTGAAATCAAGGTGAATTATTTTAGGAAAAAAAATCAATGGTCAAGCACGGATATATAGGTAGTCCATCCCCACCTCACCGTCTGCGATTTTCAGAGTTATAGAAATCATGTACAGTCGATGTCGTAAAAAATGAAGTAGGACACCTCAGAAAACATTGGCGGGTGAATTTGAGACAAGCATATAAAATGTATTTTTAGATATTCCCCACCCCCCTCCGAAATAGGGTTTTCAGGTATTGAAAAGTTGTTTGCATTTTTTTATATCCTCGTGTCGGATTTTTTTTTATGCTTTTGTGAAACCCCCTCTCTAAAAAGAAATAAATTTAAATTTAAAAAAAAAGAACCCTGAAAAACCCTTAGTTCGCGCATGATCGTTATGTGTATTCAGTACAGTTACAAGTGAACAAATCAATTTAATTTTATTACAAAAGTTAATTGGCAATAAGAATTTAGGAAAGAAGAACTCTCGAATATGTTCCAGTTTTCTTTTTTTTATCTTTAAAAAATCATAAACAACGGACTGACAGGAAAAAGGGCTAAAACATCTCACCTGTGAAAGTAGTGTAACAAAAACCATCCATTCAAAATCATGTTAATGCCATAAATATTCAATTACTCATCAGAGCGCCACCTTGAAAGTATTACTATCGGTACAACAAAGGACGGCAACTCTTGTAGGAATCAGGCGAGCTTTGCCGGTACAAGGCAACTCCACCCGGGACGGGTGTACCGGCCGTAGGGGGCCGTGGTGAACTGAAGCGTGACTAAATTGGAAATCCCCCACAAAACCAGCAGACCGGAAACAAATCTCAGTGAATCGGGGTCCCAAAACACGCGGTCAACTTGTTCCAAAATCATATTTTACTTCCTTTATTTTATTTTTTGTTAAAAAGATGAGTAAAGTAATGAAACTTTATTTGACAATTAAGTATTGCATTAAAGTTAGGATTGCTGGATATGATTTAGCTGAGGAGCGAGACGTATATTATTAGCATTTTGAAAATGGATGACGTCATCTTCCCTCCTGCTGTCCGATTGTTTATTCCGAGATAAGGATCCTGATTCGGCGAGTCATTCAGAGTGCTCTTTCATAACCACAACGATAGTTTTTAAAATATATGTTTTGTATGTTATTGTTAGATTTGTTACCTAAAACATTTGTATCTTAGATACCTTAAGTACCAGTTCCATACCTTCATCTTAGATAAAGACGAATTATGTAAGGAAAATAATTAATCTAACAAGATTTTTGTATATCATTCAATTTATGGACAAAATTGATCCTGTATGATCATGCATAAAGTTCGATTATGCACTTGCTTCTCAAATACCAAATCAAGAAACAGTAATATATGCATAATTTGTAACGTGATAACATAGGCCTGTATGGAATCAATTTAATTTATCAAGTCCCATCAGTTCTTTCGGTAGTTTGATATATGATTGTAGAGATATTATGGGAATACTGAACTGTTTCTAAATTAAATATGCAGGTTCCCTTATACATGTACTATCTGCTTCAAGACAAACATTTTTGAGGTATGCGCTTGCTCAAGTTTGACCTGTTTCTCATAAGGGGTTGCATTAGTTATTTCTATTTGATTTCCTAAAGATGCAATCTATATATCTTTCTGATTTATGTGCAGTATGCTGTTGTGAGGTGTGTTGTATTTGTATTATTTCATCATGTATATTATTAGTAACATTAAGTTTCTTGAACATTCCAGAGTGGTCAACATTTTTTCTAGAACATTCCTGAACTTTGTGTATGTCCAGAACTTTCCAGTAATATCATGTACTTACAATTTCTAGAATATTCTAGATTTATAATACTGTATAAATACCCTGTCAATTCGATGCATATATATACTCTTGTCGTATGAGCACCATTGAGTTACAACTGGGATATATTTTCACTGGGACATTGTGTGCAGCAACGGACACTCTGATGTATGTATTTTTAGATTTTTGCTAAGTTTGTACTTAATGATTTGTATATTACTGTAAATAAATTATTGTTAAGTTTAAACTGTGTGATTGATCTTTGCTGGCATTTAGGGTTATTCTGACCCATAACAGAATTGGGGGCTCGTCCGGGATAAAGAATTTCTTGCACATTTGCAGTTTATTGTCAGAATTTTGTTTATTGAACCGTTAAATTTGATTCTAAACCACCAGAAATCAACATGGTGTTTTCGGTCACAGACTTTCTTAGTTCACCAAGTGTTCAGGTTTTTGATACGTTAAAAAAGGATGACTTGATCGCATTAGGTTTGCATTTTGGGTTAGATGTTAAATCCTCGAAGAGAAAGCAAGACATTAGAATTAAGGTTGCAAACAAACTAGTAGAAGAAAACATCTTTAAAAAATATAATCTACCAGAATATACAGTTAAATCAGAGTTAGGCTCTTATAAAATGACAGAATATCAGTTTCAAGTAGAGTTAGAGAAAATGCGACTTGAAAGAGAAAAATTAGAAAGAGAAGAGCGAGAAAAAGAAAGAGAAAGAGAAGAACGACAGCTTGAACGAAAATTTGAATTAGACAAATTAGAAAGACAAGAGCGAGAAAAAGAGCGTGAAATGAACTTTGAGTTAGAGAAATTTAGATTACAGCACCAACCAGAACCTTCATTTGTCAAGAATGAATTTGACGCAGCAAAAAATATTAGGTTAGTTCCGAAATTTCAAGAAAAATCTGTAGACAAATATTTTCCCCAATTCGAAAAAGTCGCAGAGAATCTTAAATGGCCACAACACGTTTGGTCAACAATGTTACGAAGTGTACTAGTTGGCAAAGCAGCTGAGATAT